AGAGGTGTATGGGCTGTTCCAGCGGATATAAGGGGCGCGCTATGGCAGTGTCCAATCCTGATGTTCTTGCACGGTATATTCATACTCGAGTCCAAAGTTCGTTCCGTGATACTGTGGTTGTATGGGTTTGGTGATCCCCTAAAGCTTTTCCAAGGCCCTCGGCGAGTTTCTCCGCGACCCTCGATCAGATGATATTCAATGAGCTACCTGGATCCACTAAAACACGCTTAACTTGAACTTTATTTAATAATTATTTGTTAATAGTAAAATATTAATAAAAATATTATTAAATATTTGTTTTAATAACAAAATATTAATATTAAATCCAATCCGTTACCATTCTGAAGAGTTGCACCTCTTCAGATTTCAGCCCAACTTTGGCTATAAATACAACACTATTCTGCTCAGAATTTCACTACGATTTTCTGAGTTTTCTCTCCTTCTTCTGCATACTTTTAGCATCAAACAAAGCAAAAGTAAGTGTGATTTGCTACCGAACTTTGTGTTCGCTGAAACACTGGGGTTTGAAGTACCACTACACCAGTGTGTAATTCGTTCTATCTTGGGAGGAAATAATCTGTAACCTTGGTTACTAGGAGGGGATTAAATTCCTTAAGGAAACACTGTGAATTCAGTGGGCTCGAATTGGTTTTTTATTATTTCGTTGTTCATTTCTGTTTATGTTCATTTCTGTTTATATTCATTTATATTTCCCGAATTATTTTACAAATACAGTTAAGTAACAGTGTGTGCATTTTGTTCTTTGTTATTTTAATCGTACTATTAAGGTATAGACTCCAACAACCTTAATATGTTGTGATTGAAGCGTAGTTTGTTGAAAATTTGAACTCCATAAATAGATGCAAAAAAGGAAGTCCTAGCTGAGCATATTCAGCTCTATTGAAAATTAATACGACTCTGTTCCCTTTTGATTCCGGCATTTTTTCTATTTTTCTTTGTTTTCACCATTTCTATTTTGGAAAGTTTACATTTGTTTTATGCTTTAGTTGGCGTTTTAAAGATTCTTGCATTTAATTTTATTTATCAATCAGTAGAGAAGTTGAATATTTGTCCCATTCTACATTAACTAACCAAAACTGTCCATTTAACAGAATCAATTTTTTTCATTGCTAAGTGAAAGATGACACCTTATATAAGGTATAACTTAATATAAAAGGATTCCACAAATGCCTCCCCGATCTCCATACATGCATGTTGAGTAAATTTTATCGCTAGAATATGTGTGATGTTGTCTTCTTGAATAAAATTTACTATACAAATTATCCTAACATCCTGTATTGGTTACTCTTTTTGAATGCAGTTATGTTCACTTTTGCGCCTGTTGTCCGAATGCTCCTCTACTTGGAAAATGTCACGGCGACACAAAGTTAGCTTACTTGATTACAAATCTAGACTCCAATTCCTGTTATCATGATATATGCGAGGAAAAGCCCAACTATTTGATGATAGGTGATTGAAGTGCTAGGCATTGCTAAGTCCAAGTTAGTTAGTTGCTAACTTTTCTTGTTACAAATTGTGTAATTTTAATAGTTTAATCACGTCTCAAAATTCTTGTTCCTATAAGAGTTTATTGAATTGATGAGAGCACTGATGCTATATAATACATTCAAATGAAGTTTTGCTTAATCAGATGAAGTTCTGATAATTAACTTGATCTGTGCTCAGTGTGCTGCAATTTGCAATAGGAAAATTTGTTTGACTTAAAAATTATTGAACGATTTTTAAGCAAATCAATCAATATACAGGGAGGGGTAAATCATAATTAATACCAGATCGAAAGACAGAAGAGTAAATCGGAAGACTTTGTGGAAATAACAATTGGGAGATTTTATTCATCATCGAAGTTTATCCTGTCTCCCCTTGGAGGGTCCAGGATATTACAATTTTGTTATCTTTTTTGGGAATTGTTGAAAGCGGAGAATCTTCCTTTCTTTCTCCCTTCGGGCTCTCTCGCCTCCCTTCGATTCTCCCTCTCTCTCTCTCTCTAGATGTTCTTATGCTCCTGGATCCCCCGTGGAGTGATGGAGAAGCCCCTCTTATATAACGGAGGGGCTCTGTTTCAACTCCCCTAAAGATAAAGATATAATAAATGCTATAAAGGGACCGATTGTTGCGAGGTCGTCCTTTGTACTGTTCTTGAGTCGTCCCCTTCAGCAGGACTTGTGTGTATACGGTTGATCGTGCTTACTTGGGGACCGATTGTTACTAGTGTGTATATCCTTTGTACTATTAAACAAGTACTTTTTTATGTTGCTTACATGAAATTTTTTCATCTTGTGCATTTCAACTGTGTGCTTCTACAACAAGCATGTGATCTTCGTTATCATATTGTATTTTTGCAGATTTTCTTCTTCTTTTTTAGCTTCATTTTCTTCTCTGGACTTGCGTTTCTCTTGCTCTCTCCTCTATACATTTTTGGGGTGCTTTTTTTTCAACAATTTTTTTTTATTTGAATTTCAATTAATCCTTGGCCTTCGTTTTATTTCTGGGTTCTAGTGAGTATTTCTCTGTTCTTCCTTTTGTTTCTTCATAATAGTATTTCACCTTGTAATTTATAACATATTTATTTGTTTCCCGATATTTTTGGTCAAGAACTAGTATAAAAAGGATCAGAAAGAAGACCAAAGACCGCGTATGTATCATACATGTCGTAACTGCCTGGCACTTTAAGCATCCCTTAATGTGATGTTCTCGTAATGCAAACAATGTATATTTTATTCAAAATATATGTAAATTAAGTGTGTATCACTTCACATAAAATATTGTCAGTCTACTGAATTTCATACTTACATCATTAATTTCTATTATATTTACAATTAGATAGCACGCAAAATTAAATCTCATACAAATAATAATTTACTAAACTCATACTATAATATTTTTTGATTTTGAGATATTATTTTATCAATAATTTTTAAAAGTAAATGAAACATATTATTATCTAAGTTTTATATTGAATTTTTGTACTATGTTGAAAAATATTTTAGGAGCCTACTAGGCTATATTTTTATATTAAAATAAAATTTGACTAGGCTTGTAAATATATTTAAATCGATTAAATTTGTCTTTCATGCGCAAGAAAAAAATTGAGCAAACAGACCAAAAGAAAACGAAAAATATTTTTTCCTTAACCTTTACCCTTTTACAAAATCCTTCCTCTCCCCGTCAATAAACCAAAATCCTCCTTTGCTGCCCCTCCGCCAATCTCCGCCGTCACCGTCGCCGTCACCGGCGCACCTTCACCGCCGTGCCTCTGCTCTCTGCACCGTCGCCCCTGTATTTTTCCACCACCAAATTTCAGTAAGTTGCTCAAGTTCCAGCAATAATTGTTTTTTACATACTTAATTTTCTGTTAAATTAAAAGCAATGGTGAAAATTATTTAGTCTTCCTTGCAAAAATCTGGCTTTATTCTAAACTTCCACTCTGTGGCCTTTTTGAGTCTGCAGTCTGCACATTAAAAAAAATTTGAAAAAATAAAATAGAAACAATTTTGGCTTTAAAATTTCAGAAATTATTAAAATGTGTTCGGGCTAAATTTTTGCACTTGAATGAGCTTCAATACAGATTTTTTTATTTTGTATGATTGAGTATATTCATAAAATGGAATGTGAAAAGGTTCATGACTTGTGTTTACTTATTTTTCAACTTCCAATGCTGCAATTTTAGCTTGTTAGGATTATTTATATAGCTTGAATTGCCATAAGAATAGGGTCCTTATTTGAGGACGCTTGTAAATTGAATGATGTATTTTTGTGATAATATTGTTGAAAGTTCATATTTTGCTCTACATTACCATAGTTATTACTCCCTTTGTCCCATTTTATGTGAAACAATAAGCTTTCAAAGGGGCGTTATTATGCCAAATTATAGCTATTTCCAGAGAAAAAGGCCATTTGAATGACTTTTTTTCCTCCATAAAATAGAATCCGGTTTCTGATGATCCAAGGAGATGTTGCAGCAAAGTTAATTAATCACACATTCTTTGTACTTCCCAATCGTTTAGGTCCTTTCTAAGAAAAGGATCTCACCCTTGTACAGTGAAAAGGACGCAGAAATCCTAGCATTATAAGAGAGGAAATGCTGTAGATAGCATAATCAAACTTGACGTTATGAATTTACCATTCGAGTTTTCTTTTTGAATTGATAATGTTGGATCTTGGGTACCGTTTTGAAAACGGTATTATGTTTGTAGTTAAACAGATGTATTGCATGATTGAACCTGTGTGCTTTGGTGAATGGGACAAAGTTTGTTACTTTAGTTTGGAATTTTGTTTTGTTTGATGCATGAGTTTGGTTGTTCCTTCAATTTAAACTCTGAGGTTATTTCTTTATGGTTATTCATGGTTTGTTTAAGTTACTCAACAAATTCTTAGCATGGGTTCTTACTATTCGTTTGTGGGCACGATTAAGAACCAAAAAAAAAGGAAGAGATTTTGATTATGATAATTATTACTATTAGTTTCCCTTTTGGGTGATGTGAAATGCTTTTATGATATTTCATAGGACTGTAGGAGTAAGTTCAAAAGATTTGAACATATAAAATCTAACAATGGTTTCACATACTTTGATCATATAAAAGCTAATAATGTTTTCAGATAAAATATACTATTGACATATTAAATCCCCGTCTCTTCAAATTGTTAGATACTCTTGTATCAAGCAAAGCCTTTTGGGATGTCCAAATTGTTGCTGATGTTCCCTTGGTTTGTAAAACTTTGAAGCTATAAGGGTTCTCTTTTTTTTTTATAAGTATAACTTTGAAGTTATAAGGGATCTGTTAGATAGTTTAGTTAAAAACAGGAGTGCAACCGTTAGCAACTACTAAGTACAGCCTTCGCATGTCATGTGTTTTCACCGTGATCATATTCAGTTTAAGATCTGTGAATTCACTTGATACCTTCATAAATGGGTTTGATATTGAATTGCATATATAGTTTGTTGAAGCCACTGATCCTGCTTCCCTATGTTTCATCCAAAAAGGAGATGATATACATGGTCTGTTTTCCTCAGGCAATTTCAGAAAGTTACATATTCTTTAGCCAAGCTATTTTATTTGCTGATTTGTCTTGGTAGTTTCTATCATTTCATTACTTAATCTGGCATAAATTCTGTTACTAAAATTTTGCTTATTTGGTAAAAAGGATCATGGTGGGATTTAAGAATAGATATATGGTGATGGAAGTTTTTTTGGATCCAAATAAAGATACTGGAGTTGATGAGCCCATCATAATCACTCAATTTAACTTGACCAAAGCCATCAAGGATGTTATTTTGACAAACTTTGGTGAATGCGCCCTCGCCTCATCCACGAATTCATTTCAAGGTAAGTTAGTTTTAGTGTTTTTTTTTTTTTGAGCACGGAGTTTGCCTCCTTTCCTTTTCTTGAAAATTTGATGCAGTTTCAGAAGTTCGTATTTTGTGCAGTGAAGTATGTGAATCCCATTACTAAACTTTGTATCATACGAGCATCAAGGGAGGAGTATCAAAGAGTTTGGGCTGCAATAACCATGGTCCGGAGTGTAGGGAGTTGCCCCGTGGTGTTCAACCTGCTAGACCTAAGTGGTGAGTTGTAGTGTAAAAAAGGGTTCTTAAGTGGAATGCAGTGTTCTATTTGAAGTCATTTTAACATTGTTCTCTGAATGGCACATATCCTTGTATTCTTATATTCATTGATAGGTCTTCGTCGCAGCAAATATAACACACTACTTTTACATTTTCTCCTCCCAGGTAGCATCAGGGCATGTAGAGCTGCAGCATTGAAATGTGATGAGTTGAAATTTCAGCAGTACCAGTCGTTGGCCGGAGCTCGCCTCACCCCAGAGGTTCAGCAGCAAATGCAGGGCTATCTAGATAAGATCAAAGTTTTGGAACACTGATGTAAAGAAATAGACCTTGGGCCTAACTCAACCCCAAATGCTAGCTCCTTCCTCTCTTGAATTGCAAACACCTATCGAGATTCCCTAAGGCATTGACTGCATCCCCTCTCCGGCATCAGATTTACCAGCGAAAACCTACAATATCTTGTAATGAGCCAATGCTCAAGTATTTTCTCCGGCCATTGTCCAACAAGCTGGTTATTTCATTAACTTATGTATACATGCTTGCACAAAAGTTATGCTCGTTAGCTGGTTAAATTTGTATTTTTAATTGTCAACTGTACATTTGCCTTTAGAACTTGATTAATTTGATGGTGCATTATGATAAATTTGGAACTTACCATGTTTCATTGCCCTATGTTCTTGCCAAAATTTATTCCATTTTCCTTTATATAGGAAAAGCAGGGAGCAGATAACCAGCTAATTGGTGGTGGCATGTACGCTTTCTTTTGTTTTTTTTCTTTAGCTTTTGTTGGGTTACTTTCTCCAGTTTTAAGAATGGTTAAGTATACTTATAATAATGCCTACACCTTGGCTTCTTTCACTTAGGATAACAATAAAAACTATGTAATATGCTTATAAATTAGGCTGCAAAGTGACGAAATGAATGTGTGAGGTGATGAAATCCTAAGAATACTAAATTCTAAGGATTAGCTAGTTTTGTTTATCATTAATAACTCAATCAACGAAGTCCTTGTAAGGTTATGAGGACTAAAGGTGTAAAATTGCATATTATAAGTGTAACACCCCAGACTTTAGACAGACTCTCACATCGGCAATGGGCTGTTACACATGGTATCAGAGCCACTCTTGTGTCAGCCTTGTCGATGTTGGGTCAGAGTTCAACTGAGTTTAGGCAAATCCCGGTTAGGCCGGGCAAACCTCAGTGCTGAGTCTAGGCGAATCCCATGTGGTGGGGCAAACCTTAGCGAGGGCGCTGAATCCATAAGAGGGGTGTATGTAACACCCCGGACTTTAGACAGAGTCTCATATCGGCCAAACACAAGAGGGATGCTAGGCTTAACAAGCCTTAGACCCTAGTGATACGTTTTAAACCTGCGAGGGTCTAAGCCTAGAGCGGACAATAGCACTGGCGGGCTGGGCTGTTACAATCAGAGAACCAACATAATTTTGCCAGTGAGGTTGATGGGGCAAGTGGATAAAGATAGGAATAGGAATAAGGATAACTTTTTCCATATATTAATTATTACTATATGAAGAACATAAGATTGTGTATGATTTTCATTGTATAGGGGTGTTAAATATTTGATTTAATAATATAGGGGGTGTAGTTAAAATTAAATGATATTGTAGGGATATTGTGAAAAATACCTCGCATATAAAATATACGAGGTGGTTAGAAATAATATTTATCCTTACCGGCGACCCAAAGCCCTCCGCCAGACTCCACCATCACCGCGACGGGGAGTGCACCTTCCCCGCCGTGCCGCTGCTGCCTGAGCGGTGGACCGTGTCTTTTCCACCACCAAATTACAGTAAGTTGCTCGAGTTCCACAATAATTGTTTTTTACTTAATTTCCTGTTAAATTAGAAGCACTGGTGAAAATTATTAGTCTTCCTTGCAAAAATCTAGCTTTGTCCCAAAAATTCCACTCTCTGCTCATTTTGAGTTTGCTCAGTAAAAAATTTGGCTTTAGAATTTCAGTAATTGTTAAAACGTGGTCGGGTAAAATTGTTGCTCTTGAATGAGCTTCAATACAGATTTTTGATTTTTATGATTGAGTATATCCAGAAAATGTGGTGTTAAAAGATGATAAATATCACTATTTCATCTTGTTATGATTGTTTTTGTAGCTAAAATTGACATAAGAATGAGGTCCATATTCGAGGACACTTGTAAATGGATAATGTATTGTTGTGATTTTAGTAATATTGTTGAAGGTGTATATTTTGCTTTACGTTGTCATTTTTATTAACTTTTTTCTGCTCGAATAACCTGAACCTAAGCTAAACTATACCAAATGAACCGAATGTATACCCTATTTGGACCATGTACATAGCGAAGTGTCTATGTTCAAAGCAATGTAGCTCTCGGAACCTCCAAATTCTGGATCCGCCTCTGCCTTCTCTCATTTCCTTCTGCTCCTTTGCACACAAACCATTAGAACCTTAACCTCTAGCCACTATAACTAGAAATCCTCTTCACTCATCACACAACCTTCTTGACCCATCGAACATCCCACATTGGTCATCACTTCAAGACCAGCTACCATACAACCGCCTCGTCCAGTCTGTCACACCAGAAGCTTTGTTTTTAACATTTTCTTGGGTTGTAGTCACACCTTGAATCAAACAAATACAGGGCAGTTTTCTTAATTCATTACATGTTTGAACTGGTGCTTATTGGACACTTTGGTTAGATTTTTTGATAAGGGTAAAATTTATAAATGAAAAAGACAGCACCAAGAAAGTGCATCTAAATTTACATATTGTGCAACTCCCCGATCATATCTAACAAGGAATCAACAGCCTTTACATAAGCCATGTTGGACCAAAAAGCTACCAAGAAAATATGTCTAGTTTAAGGCTATGTATATTCCTCCTTTTGCCTTAAAAAATTCTGTGGTTTCTTTCTGTCCAAATTGTCCACCAAATGACCAAAGGAATAGTGTTAGATTTTTTTGGTTCATGAATTTGGTTGTTCCTTTCAGTTTAAACTTCATGGTTATTTGTTTATGGTCATTCATTTTTGTTTAAGCTACTTAACAAATTCTTAGCATGAGTTCTTGCTATTCATTTGAGGCTTTCTTGTTCACTGAATTCTTCCTTATGTGCTATTGCACATTTAGCCCCCCAAAAAAGATTGGATTTTCATTATGATAATCTTTATTAGTTTCTTTTCTAGGGTGATGTGAAATGCGTTTGTGAAATATCAATTTATTTGAATTTAATGTCCATCATCAGGCAACCTAATAGGACTATAGGATTAAGTTCAAAGGATTTGAACATAAAAAAATCTAATTATGGTTTCACATGATTTGAACATCTATAATCTAATGATGTTTTCAGATAAAATAAAACAAATAATCTAATGAATTCACTTGATGCCTTCATAAATGGGGTTGATTTGGAATTGCATATAATTTATTGTACCCATTGATCCTGCTTCCCCTAGGGTTGTTTCATCCAAAAAAGATGATATATATGTCTTTTTTTTCCTTAACAACTTTAGAAACTGACATATTCTTTAGCCAAGCTCTTTATTTGCTGATTTTGTCCAGTTTCTATCACTTTCAGAACTTAATCTGACATATATAATGTTATTAAAATTATTGCTCATTAGGTAAAAAGGATCATGGTGGGATTTAAGAATAGATATATGGTGATGGAGGTTTTTTTGGATCCAAATAAGGATACTGGAGCAGATGAGCCGATCATAATCACTCCATTTAACTTGACCAAAGCCATCAAGCATGTCATTCTAACAAACTTTGGTACGTGAATGTGGCCTCGCCTCATCCGCGAATTCATTTTAAGGTGAATTGATTAGTTTAAGCTTGTTTGTTAAGCATGGAGTTTGCCTGCTTTCCTCTTCTTGAAAATTTTGATGCAGTTTCAAAAGTTCATATTTTGTGCAGTGAAGTATGTGAATACCATTATTAAACTTTGTATCATTCGAGCATCAAGGGAGAAGTATCAAAGAGTTTGGGCTGCAATAACCATGGTTTGGAGCCTAGGGAGTTGTCCTGTGGTGTTCAAATTAGTAGACCTAAGTGGTGAGTTATAGTGTTAAAAATGTTCTTAAGAGGAATGCACTGTTCTCTTCGAAATCATTTTAACACTGTCCTCTGAATGGCGCGCAGCCTTATGGTCTTGTATTCGTTGATAGGTGTATGTTGCAGCAAATATAACACTGTAATTTTACATCTTGTCCTCTCAGGTAGTATCAGGGCATGTAGAGCTGCAGCATTGAAATGTGATGAGTTGAAATTTCAGCAGCCGGAGCTTGCCTTACTCTAGAGGTTCAGCAGCAAATGCAGAATTATCTAGACACGATCAAAGTTTTGGAACACTAATGTCAAGAAATGGACCTTGAGCGTACCTCAACTTCAAAAGCTAGCTCCTACCTTCTCTTGAATTGCAAACACCTATCGAGATTCCCTAGGGCATCGACTGCATCCCCTCCCCGGCATCAGATTTACCAGTGAAAGCCTATAATACCTTAGAATGAAACAATGCTCAATTGTTCTTTCCAGCCATTGTCCAACAAGCTTGTTATTTGATTAACTTATGTGATACATGCTTGCGCGAAAGAATACCTACTAACATTAGATTCCCCTGTGGTTCTTCGCGTGTTTACTTCTTTATATTTTGACACTCCTTAGTGAAAATTCTGGCTCCGCCACTGGTCGCAGAGCTGAGAACTCTGTTTGCAACGTAGGAAATGAATGAAGAAGAACAAAAGCTAAAGAGGTGAAAATTAGTGAGGGATTTGCTTTTGTTTTCAATTGTTTCATTATGTCATTAATTGTGTCTTTTTTCTCTAACTCCATATGAGATTGAATCAACAATACTTCTGAAATTCTTTTGCCTCCAATTTAACACATTACAGACGTGGAGCAAATATATATAT